TTAAAATTTGAACTAATTCTTATAATACCAATAATCAATTACAATTACCTCGCCCATTTGATTTTGTCCTCAAGACGGTGGGGATTTGCTTTTCTCTCTCGACATTGTACCAAGCAAACGCAGGCTTAAACACAGAACCTTTAGATGAGAGGTGTGCTCAAATCTAACCGTTGAATTCATAAAATTGAATTTCACAAGCGAGGCTAGAGAGAGTGAGGATTGAGGCAGAGACCTCAAAGCCTCTGCATCCTCTTTGAAAAATTCCCACCATTTTCCTCACTGAACATTCATGTTTGATGTTGTGGGCGTCATCTGTATACCTATACGTACAGATCAATGGTCCTGCAGTGTTGTACGTAGGATTGGTTCCTGTTATTTGGTGATTCTTTTTGTTTTCGTTTTCGTTTTCGTTTCTTTTCGAAATCTGAGCTCCCGGCGATAATCGACTGGTTCAGAGTTTTGAATTTCTAATTTGGTTCCTTCTGTGTTGGGCTGAGGAAGTGAAATCCGTATTGAAATAGGGATGTATAGAAGAAAAATCCAGTGTAATTCGAGTTAAATTTGTGTGGGGTTCTTGTGGTTTTCTTTCTTCTTCGTCTTGACAAGTTTTTGTTGCGGGAATTCTTTTATTTTTGTATTGATTTATTTGAATGGATCAAAGAGATGGAGGGGATTTCCCTCCGAATAAGCCGACGACGTCGCAACTGGAAGCGTCTTCCGCGGTGCCAGCGGATTTTCCGGCGAGGAAGCTTGTAAGGCAGCTGGATTTTACTGGTTCTGCAGCCACTACATTGAGTGTGGAACATCCGCAGGTGGGGAAGCCACAGTTTGGAAAGCTGTCCCAGGCGCAAAAGCTACCACATCTTCAGCAGCCACAAATGGTTTTTATGGCGATGCAACAGCCGCCTCTGCAGCCAGCTGTGGCATCTCCTCATCCATCCGTACACTCTCTTGTGTGAGTTCTTTCTTCAATTTTTCTTGCAAATATTGTTAATTGTTTAATTATCATCAAGGTTGATACTTTTTTCTTTTGGGTGGGAGAGGGATTCAAATCTTGATACCTATGGAAACCTTTTTT